GCTTTTAGAGAGAGTAGAAGGGAGGGAGGGAGAGGGAGGAGAGAGAAACACTGATGTGAGAGAGACACATCGATTGGTTGCCTCCTACACATGCCTGGACCAGGGCTGGGGATCAAACCTGCAACCCAGGTATGTGCCCTTGACTGGGAATCAAAGCCAGCGTGTGGGCCAATGCTCTAACTACTAAGCCACACAGGCCAGGGCAAGAACTTTTCCTTTTCTTTTCTTTTTCTTTTTAAATATATCTTTATTGATTTCAGAGAGAGGAAAGGAGATGGAGAGAGAGAGTCATTGATCGGCTGCCTAGCCCGCAACCCGGGTATAGGCCCTGACCAGAAATCGAAACCCGATCGCCTGTGTCCTAGGTCGACGCTCAACCGCTGAGCCACACCCAGCTGGGCAAGAACTTTTATTTTTCAAAAGCCATCCAGGTTTCTGGTTCAAGAAAGTAGGCTGCTATTTTTCATCACTCCCTCTTGATACCCTATTTAAATTATCATAAAAGAGTGAAAAGGAATACAAGTGATTTCAACATATTTCTAGAGGATGCAGAGCTGATGGATGGCTGCTGCAATATGAAACAGGGGAAAGGGTGGCGTCTACAGAATCTAAGTGGAGACAACTGCAGTGGAGGAGGGGCCAATGTGCCCAGCAAAACCTGGGACGTACAGGTACTACAGAGGGCAAACAAAAGAGGCAGGGGCTGAAACAAGGGAACTCACTCACTGTATATGGAAGAACTCGCCTCCCCCACCTCCAGGCCAAGGATAGAGAGGGTTCTCCTTTAAACAACTGAAGAAGCTGATATATTCTGACACAACTTCATGCATATATTATCTACTCTTTCTAACTGAAGTTTTCTCAGCGCAAGGACCTCATTTTTTTTTTAATCCTCACCTGAGGATATGTTTACTGATTTTAGACAGAGAGGAAGGGAGAGGGAAAGGAAAGAGAGAGGGAGAGAGAAAGAGAGGGGGAGAGAGGTGTGAGAGAGAAACACTGGCCCATTGCCTCACGTACAAGCCCTGACTGGGGATTGACCTGAAACCTGGGTATGTGCTCTGATGGGGAACCGAACCCAAAACCTTTTTGGTGCTCCAACCAACCAAGCCTCCCAGCCAGGGCACAAGAACTTCATTTTTGTTTCCCTCACATCTCTAGACACACAATAGGCTCTGACAGAAAAGCTCTTTGGAAAATAAAATTGAGATGCTGGGAAATGGAAGGAGGTCATATTGTTCCTCTATCTATTCAAAAGACATTTACTAAACACAGAGGGGAAAAAAATCCCTTAAAAATGGACACACCAGAAGGTAAATGCCATATTTATCCTTATATATGTTATCCATATGATTTTAGTAATTCTGATATCTAATTCACAATTAGTATCTCTAACTGATAGTCTAAGAACATATTTTGCATATTGAGAGGCATTAATAATGTCCAAAGAGTAATTTTAAACTTACATTTCTGAACTTAGCTGTCCATGAATCCATATGATCAAGAAGTTGTCTATTCATAGTCACTCTTGCCCAAACCTATTAAAAATATGTTTTAAATAAACAGTGAGGAAAAAATCCTGCCAGAAATCAGTTATTCCTTCCCCAACCTCAAAATATTTGGGGGGGGAAAAACCACACAAAACTTCACAAGCATCAGTGTTGACCTAATATGCAATAACTTTCTTATTAAGCATTTGTTGCTATTCATGCAGACATATCTTTAAAATCCCTTATGTTGGTTTGTTTAAAAAACATTTTTCTTGCCCAGCCAGGGTTGAGCATTGACCAGGAGATCGAGGCTCGATTCCCAGTCAGGGCACATGCCCGGGGTTGTGGGCTCGAACCCCAGTGGGGGGCTTGCAGGAGGCAGCCAATCAATGACGACTCTCTCATCATTGATGTTTCTATCTCTCTGCCCCTCTCCCTGAAATCAATAAAGATATATTAAAAAAGAAAAAAAAAAAAAATTCTTGCTTTTAAGAACAAAGTAAAAATCCTGTATTTGGTATTAAACTGATGAAATTAGGCTGTCAAATGTCCTAATCTAAATATATTTTAAAAGCAAGAATCTTGTATACATTAAGTACAAATTGATATTTGAGATACCTTTTTATAAATGAATGCAGAAAAATGTTTTCGGCAGGACACTAATATCACTAATGTGTCACAAAGAGTAAAACATTTAATTCAATTTTGTTTTAGGTACACAAAGTTAGATAGGAGCCTTTCCACTCTGTAATGTGTGCCAGATTTATGTTGCTAGTCAGTAAAAGTGGAGGTTACAGGAAAAATAATGTTCCAGAAGTAAAAAAGATGACTTTCTAATAATCTGTAAATCATAAATATTGTCATTTTAATTTTCCATTTACCTCCTCTGCAGCTTGTTTAGAACTGAGATCGGCTTCATCTTTGTTAGCACACGGAGCTTGAGACCTACAGGCAAGCTGATACTGAAACTTCTTTAGAGTTTGTACATAATCTCCCAGAGAACGATTGTAGTTCCAGAAAGTAGGACTGGTGGAAGGCGAGGTAGAATCTGGACTTCCTACAAATGATTAATTCAAGAGTGTCAGTGTGTTATAGTAATTTTGATGTTGTAGAGTTAGTATGTGAACACTGGGTATCCAGGCACAGAGGCAATGGCAACCAAGGAAGACAAAGCCTCAAGGGGCTTCTCTCTTCTTTCTCCTCCCAAACATTGTCTTTTCTTTAGAGAACATGGACTACTTGTGCTAAAAGTTAACAAGGACATTTCCTAATGGTATTAATTTGAAGCCATATGCATAAGTAGTTGAAAGTGGAGTTTTTTTGTTGTAAAATTAAGCTTGTTTCATTCTCTAAGATTTTCTAATGATTCAATGAGAAACAAGAGAAATTTCTTCAGGAAATAGGCTATGGAAGTTCCTTGCTTGAATTTTTAGAAGCTCTTTCTGAATGGGATAACTACAGCATCCTATTAAAAAACTCCTCTTTGGGCTAGCAACTAAACTCACTCTTCCCTGCACTACACTGTATTCTATTCATATCTTGTAATAATTCCTGAGTTGTACTAAAAGAGACTGATCACACTTCTGAATTTACTTCTAGGAAATGTAAATATTTACATTTAGGGACTTAATCCTGTAATTACCAGTGGGGTAGAAAGGGGTCAATGTGGGGGAAAAAGGACATCTGTAATACTTTCAACACTAAAGATAAAGTTTTTTAATAAAATAAAATCAATGAAAAAAAATAAAGTCAATTATCTCTCTTTTTAATCCTCACCTAAAGACATGCTATTTTTTTTTTTTTTTAAAGGGATTTTAGAGAGTAAAGGAAGGTGGTGGGGAGAGAGAGAAAGAGAAACGTCCATGTAAAAATGAAACATCGATTGGTTGCCTCCCAAACAAGCCCCAACTGGGGATGGAACCTGAGACCCTCCAGTGTCCAGGATGAAGCTCCAACCAACCAGCCAGGGCCATAGTTTAACTTTTTCCAAATAGAATGCGATATTCTTGAGGGCAGGGAGTATTTTGCCCCTAGCACCTAGCACAGAATAAATAGCAAGTTTTCAAAGACAATTGTATACTTAGGAAGGGCTCATTTTTTAAAGTGTAACTAGTATCAAAAATACCAACGGATACTTCACATCCACACACAAAAATTACAAACAAGGTTTTGTTTGTTTGTTTTTTAAATCTTAGCAGAATTTCTAAGAGGAGTGACTAGAAAATAATAAAACTGCTTTTCTTATGTTGTTTATTTACAGAGGTAAAGGATGAGAAATTCTGAAAGGGGTGTGTGACAACATTTCAATTCACAGCATCAAAACCTTGAAGATCAGCCAGTCTTGTGCTGGCACCTTAGGTGAATACTAGTATGTTTCTTGCTGGCATAAAAATAAATAATTATGCACAGTAAAGAAATACCACATTTGATGTAAAGTTACATTTTCAAGTAGGACTCATGGCAAGATTGACTTACAGGAATGAATCACCATTAAGAAAAGAAGTTTTAAACCAACACGAATGAGTTAAATGGAATAAAAAGGTAAAAGACATGGTCACGATAGAACACAAAGTTATTCTATTTTGATTAGTCATTTTGACTATTAACTTCAAAAATAATAATCAAGCTTTCTGAGAGAGAATTTTAACTTGAGAAAAATTTCAGCAAGGCCTGGCTTTACATGACAAAAGTTTTATATCAATTATAGACATAAGATGACAGAAATAAGAAGTTTTACTATCTGTTGTGCATTAGCCAAAGAACAAACCAAATATATACAGCAAGCAGTGGTAACATAGGGCCTCTCTGTAATGACCACTGCCCACAACAGAGCGGACAAAACCTGTAGCTGGAGAACCCCAAAGACTAAGGATCAAAACACAAAGAAATTTTGAATTCTGGCAACATAACAAACCAGGTAACCTGAAATATCTCCCACTATATATATCTAAAACTGTTTATTAAAATAAAACACCTTGTTTCAATGTATAATGGAGCTTGTAAAAAGTTAAGAGGAAAAGCCAATGGCTAGAAATGAAGATGGAATTGAAAATCAGAGTGGCCAGTGTGTAAGCTGATAGTGTGGCTACTCTGGAGAATTTTGAAGGCTTTGGGAAACCTATCACCTTGGATTTCAGTGGCCAAGAGGAAACTGGAAATGAAGATGTAGGCCTCAAAGAGGTAGAGAGTTGGATTGAGACCTTTCTCTAACTTCCATCCCTTGCACCTGGCACAGGGCCAGGAACCTCAAAGGGCCACATTCTCAGTGGATAAGAAAATAATCTGACCACTGGCACCAGGAGATAACAAGGAAGCTTGTGTGTTTTAGGCTGTTGGGAGATTAATCCTTCAAGCCTAAACATTACTTATGTTAGTTCAAAGTTAATGATATTCCTTAGGGATCTGGCAGAGTCATATACAAAACTTCTGGGGGGAAACAAGGCTTCCATCCAGCTTTCCCAGGATAAAAAAAAAAGCAGATAAAACTCTACTGAAGACGAGCCTACCAAAAACACAAACAAAAAAATAGATAAATCACAAGGAAACAAGCCTCAAAGCGTGAGTCCACAAAACAAAAAAATGTTAGTATTTTATCTCCACAAACTTTAGATAACTGAACTATTGGACAGAGGCTTTTTAAAAGTATGTTTAAAGTGACTAAGATAGGAAGAAGAGTTGAAAACAGAAACAAAACAAGATACTCTAAATAAATCAGGCATATTTGAAAGAGAACCAAATAAAACTCTGAAAAATGAAAAAAATACAAATTAAAAAAACTCAATTAGTTAATTAAAAGGCAGTTTAGACATTGCTAAAGAAAGAACCAACTGTGAATCCAAACTAGCTAAAACAAACTGTGGAGTGAAGGGTAACCAGAAACTTCTCTATAAAAGAATGTCAAACGACTAAATGTAGAAGAAATGGAAGTACTAGAAAGCTTCCATTTTGAAACCACCACTGTATTAACTTATTGGGAAAGGACCATCAATGGATGCTAGCTAAAACCTCTGGTTTAAAGGGTGGGGGGAAGAGTACATTCACAAGTCTCAAAGAATCACACTGTAGATTATTAATTATTACAAAAGGGAAAAGCTATTATGGAGAAATCTGGTTGCTCTCACCTTGGCCAAGTGATTCAATTTAACGATACCAATAAAGGAACAAAAAGATTATCATGTGTCCCCTGACGTAATACACTGGAAAGTATACACCACCACCTAAGTTGTATTCTTGCCAAAAATCATACTTAAACTGAATCTAATATGAGAAAATGATCACATAAATCCAAATGTGCAATACAACTAGCCTGACCTCTTCAAAATGTAAATGTCATAAAACACACACACAAAAACAAAGAAAAAACCATAAATGTTTTACATTAAAGAAGACAAAAGAAGCATGACAACTAAATGCAATATATGAATCTTAACTGGATTCTGCATCAGTAAAAGGGGGGAAAAAGCTCCGAAGGTCACCGCTATGTCAATTGTAGGAAACGTGAATATGAATAATGGTAGTATCTTAAGTCTGATAATCATATTGCAGGTAGAAAGGAAAATGTCCTTGTTCTTAGGAGATGCATGTGAAGTACTTAGGGATGAAGTGGCTCTTTAGCAAAAAAGTGGGTGTGAGGCAGAGTACACAAGTGCCTGGTTTCTCACCACTGGAGAAAGTGACATACGGAAAGGGAGAAGAGGCTAGAATAAACCCAGGACAGCTAGATTGGAACTGGGGTATTAGTATGAACCATGGTTTTGAACATACAGTTGAGCCTTGAACAATGTGGGGGTTAGAGGCACCGACCCTCCTCCCCACATGCTGTCAAAAATCTATGTATAACTTCTGACTCTGCCGAAACTTAACTACTAACAGTCTCTTGTTGACAGGAACAAGAGACATGAAAAGTCAATTAACACATATTTTGTGTGTCTTATGTATTATATACTGTATTCTTATAATAAAGTAAGCTAGAGAAAAATGTTATTAAGAAAATCATGAGAAAATTTATTTACGGTACTGTACTTATTTATTGAAGGGAAAAAAACGTGTTAGTGGACCCATGCAGTTCAAATCCATGTTGCTCAAGAATCAACTGATGGATTCATATAGATAGATGGATGTAGAAATACATATAGATGTGCGTGTGTGTGAATGTATATACATATATTTCCTAGCTGTCTGCTGAGAAGACCTAGAGTAATGACATCCCACTAACATGGTATATCCAATGCCCAGAATTAATTTCTAAATATTATTCTTCACTAAGAACAATTATAGCCCTTAGAGAAACAGACTGACTCTAGAGCTAGTTAGCCAGAAAAAATACAAAAGGAGTCTGATGCAGGAAAGTTAAAAAAAATAAGTGCTCAAAGAATGATAGTGTCATGTCCAAAGAACACAGAAGCCAGAGGCCCACTAGCCAAATCTGAGACAATCTAACCATCAAAACAAATTACATAATTGAGAAGAAGAAAAAGATCCATTTTACAGAACACCAATAAATAAATATGAAAGGTGGTTGCACAACAATGTGAATGTACTTAATACACTGAATTAATTATACACTTAAAAATGGTCAAAATGTGGTGATGGAAGGAGACTTGACTTGGGGTGGTGAACACACAATACAATATACAGTTGATGTATTATATAACTGGACACCTGAAACCTATAAAAAAAATTTTTTAATCTTTACCCGATCACTTTTTTTGAGAGAGAGAGAGGGAAAGAGAGAGAAACATCTATGCCAGAAAGAAACATCAATCAGCTACCTCCCATATGCACCGACTAGGGATTGAACTTGCAACCTTTTGGTATATGCGGTGCTCCAACTAGCTGAGCCACCAGGCCAGGGCTGAAACCTATATAATTTATTAACCAATGTCACCCCAATAAAGTCAATTAAAAATGGTTAAAATGATAAATATTATGTATATCTTACCACAAAAAAGTTAAACACAGAAGAGGTAAATATTAAAACGATGACAGCCCTGGCCAGTGTGCACAGTGGTTAGAGAGCTGGTCTGTGCACTGAGGGTCACAGGTTCGATTCCTGGTCAAGGGCACATACCTGGGTTGCAGGTTTGATCGCTGGCCCTGGTGGGGCACGTGTGGGAAGCAACCAATGGATGTGTCTCTCTCACAACGATGTTTCTCTCTCTCCACCCCCTTCCTCCCTTCCATTCTCTCTAAAAATCAATGGAAAAAAATCCTTGGGTGAGGATTAACAAAACAAACAAACAAACAAACAACAATGACAGAATTAGAAAGCCACTATGACAACCAGCATAGTAATAATTAATTTTGAAAATATTCTCAAAAGGATGTTAAAACTAGCAAGTCAAAATCTGATGAGAAAGAGGATATTTGTATAGTCTCAAAGTAGCTCCCCACCAAATTAATTATTTACAAATTAATTTGTATAAAATACTTAACTAAAACCTATGGGCACAGAAGTGTTAAAAGTATAGGTATAAACAGAGATGTACCTGGAAAATGCTAACCAAATGAAGACTATGTTAATGTCAGACAAAATACTCTTGAAGGCAAAAAGCCTAAGTGATAAAAGGAGTAATTAACCAGAATGATATTAACAATTCTGAGTTTACATGCACTTAACATATCTCATAGATACTTAGCAAGTTTGATGGAATTATGAGGTGACATTTAATGGGAGACAATGAGTGGGAGTTTTAAACACACTTCCTTAGTAACTAATAGATCAAGCAGACAAAAATTAATAATATAAAAAATTTAAGACACTATCAAAAAGCTTACTAAATGAATATGGAGTCCAATATTTGAGACTATACATTCTTTTCAATATACCAAGAACCATTTATAAAAAGTAATCACACAGCAGTCCTAAATGCAAGCCTGAAAAAAAAATACCAAAAAAATCAATAGGGTACAGATCAGAATCTATAGCCACAGTACAATCAGTTTAGAGAACAGGAAAAAAGATAACCTAGCCTTCCATTTCATATATTTGGAAATTAAAAGCAACACTAATCAGTAATAACAATACTTCCAAACAACTCCTATATGTCAAAGAAGAAATAAAAATGGAAGTCAGAAAAACTCTGGCTATGACAAAGGTATGTAGAGGGTTAATAGGTTATTCTTCATATTATACCCTATAATTTTCAGTATACTTATTCCAAAATTTAAAAAGAAAAAGCATGTATCAACAAATAACAAGATAATACTGATTTGTTTCTTTGACATTTGTGGCAATTCCAGGCAAAATTATATTAAAAATCAATGGAGAGATTTAAAGTGACACAAAGAGCCATAGTCCAATAACTGGCTTCCTCATTGTGGCCATGCTTTAGCACCTAATGTGCTTTCTGTGAAAGTTCCTGAGGGGGAAAAATCATTACCCTGCTCAATAACCTAATCTGGTGTCAAATAATTGACTTTGTAATAATCAAATCCACCCCAAATAGATTAGCATTTTCTAACATTGTTTCCCAAGGTAAACTAAAGATAAGTTTAAAATGTTCTGAAAAATAGCAGTACTTCTAGCGTAAATCCATGCTCTGTCCTACATCCTTCCTGGCCACCCCAACCTTCCCAAGCTCTACCGAAAAGGAGACAACTATCGCTTCAAAGAGCTTTGCTATGCACCACTTCAAAAACATTTGATAGCCTAATTAAACAAAAATTATAACTTACATTATATGAAAAAGCTTTCAATGTTAATGTAGATAAAAGGTTCAAGATTTCTCAGTTCAGTTGTATTTTACTTCTTAAATTTGGTGAACTCTAACTGCATAAAATATAAAAACAAAATGTATTTCTCTCCTAAGCTACACAAGGTATACAAGTAAAAAAGACTTAAACATTTATATATGGGTAATCAAAGTAATGAAAATAATAGCTTATAGGACAATGTAAAGTGACACCAAATATATATATATTAGACCTAAAAAAAATATACATACCCAGCTTAACTCTATGCTGTTTCTCTTCTTCACTTCTAAGGAAAGTATCCAAAGTTCGTAGGTCTGTCATGTAGTCTTGTTTGTCAGTAGGGGAGTTATAGACAGTGGGTGAAGAACGGTAGCGAGATCGCAATCCACTGCTCTCCACTGGTCCCACGGTGGTAGGGTATGGAGGAGGGGAGGGACTATAGCTTGCCAACTATACAAAATTAAAAAACTTTATTTTATTGAAATTTACTTTTGTTTTGATATTGACTTTCAAAACGTAATACACCAATAGTAAAATCCAAAACACTGACACCACGAGATGCTGACCAGGATGTGAAGCAACAGCAACTCTCTTTCATTGCTGGTGGGAATGCAAAATGGTACAGCCACTTTGGAAGACGGTTTGATGGTTTCTTACAAAACTAAACATCCTCTTACCATATGATCTAGCAGTTGTGCTTCCTGGTATTTACCCAAAGGAGTTGAAAACTTACAGCCACACAAAAATCTGCACACAGATGTTTATAAGAGCTTTACTCATAATTGCCAAAACTCAGAAGCAACCTACTTTAGCAGGTGAATGGACAAACTGTGGTATATCTGGACAATGGGATATTATTCAGCACTAAAAGGAGCTATGAAGCCATGAAAAGACATAAAGGAACCTTAAATGCATATTACTTAGTGAAAGAAGCCAATCTGAAAAGGTTACACACAGTACAATGGCAACTATATATTCTGGAAAAGGCAAAACCATGAACAATAAAAAAAATCAGTTGTTAGGAGCTGAGGTTGGGGGAAGGATGAATAGGTGGAGCAAGAGGATTTTTAGGGCAGTAAAAATACTCTGTATACCACAATGGTGGATATATGTCTTTATATACTTATTCAAACCCACAGAATGTACACCACCAAGTGTGGGCCCTAATGTGAACCATGGACTTTGGGTGAGAATGCTGTGTCAGTGTAGGTTCATCAATTGTAACAACTGTACCACCCTTGTGCCTGATATCAACAGTCAGGAAGGCTGTGCCTGTGTGGGGGCAGGGGGCACATGGGAAATCTCTGTACCTTCCTCTCAATTTTGCCGGGAACCTAAAACTGCTCTGAATATAAAGACTAGTTTTTTTAAAAAGTAATATATGCATGTTTTAAAAAAACTAAAAAAGTATGAAAAAAAAAAAAGTCACATTTAGAACTCTGCCACCCAGAGATAATATAATCCTTTTCCACATTTTATGTATTTTTGAATCTTTAGATGTATATGGCTATGTGAATATATTTTTTCACATAACACAATACTGTCTAATTTTTCATTTTATATCCCCATTTTATTTAAAGCTAACTAAGAATTTTCCTATAAAATTCCTTTATAGCCCTGGCTGGGAGGCTCAGTTGGTTGGCGTGTCATCCCGTTCACCAGAAGGTTGAGGGTTCGATTCCCAGTCAGGCAGGACACATACCTAGGTTTCGGGTTCAATCTCTGGTCTGGGCCCATGCAGGAGGCAACTAATTGATGTTTTTCTCTCACATCAATGTTTCTCTCTCTCTCTCTTCCCCTAAAATCAATAAAAACATATCCTTGGGTGATGATTAAAAATTAATTAAAATCTTTAGAAATATCATTGTTACTAGCTATATAGTATTTCATTGTACAAATATATCATAATTTATTTTTATCTTCTCTTATTCTAGACATCTAGATTGACCACAATTTTTGGCTACTGTAATTGTTATGAGTAACATCTTTGTACATAAATCTTTAATTTGATAACATCCTTTAGGAAGCGATCTGATTAAAGCATATGAACATTTTTATACTCTTTTCAACAAAAATGTTGCACTAAGTTTAACTATTGAGTCCAGTACTTTGTAAATTTTTTTCTGCTAGGGTTTCATGATCAATTTATATTTGGTTATAATACATGATTAACAAATCTGAACACTGTCTAATGCTGCCTGAGAATGAAAGTTAATCCTCTTCCACACTGATTTCTCTTTTATTCCAATGAACATATTAATCCTTATACACTACAACTATATATGAGCTACTGTTTCATTAATTGGTTTATCCTTGCTCAAGAGGCATAATATTTTATGCTTAATATATATGACCTTATTTCATTCTCTTAATAATAGGTAAATATTATTATTGTACTAATTTTAGATATGAGAGTTTAGGTAACTTGCTCAAGATCATACCAGGATTTCAATCCAGTTTTCTGACCCTAGAGTTTATACTTTTAACATGTTTTATTGGATTAGAATTATCTGTTCATACAGTAACAAAATGTTAGTAACTATTGAAGATGGGTGATACACAGGAGTTCATTGTACTAGTCCCTTCATTTCCATATGAAAATTTTCATAGTCAAATGTTTAAGAAGTGTTTTTTTGTAATTAAAAAAAAACAATGATAAAAACCTCAGGGCCCTCATGTATTCTGAGGATGTATTTGATCAACGGTTTAAAATTTTTCTTCCTTGACAAACAATCCAATTAAAAAATGGGCAAAGGACTTAAATAGACACTTCTCCAAAGAGGACATATAGATGTCCAAGAAACATGAAAAACTGCTCAGTCACTAATTATCAGAGAGATGCAAATTAAAACGACAATGCGATATCACCTGACAACTATCAGAATGGCTGCCATCATCAAATCAAAAACGACAAGTGCTGGCGAGGATGTGGAGAAAAGGGAACCCTAGTACACTGCTGGTGGGAATACAGACTGGTGCAGCCACTATGGAAAACAGTATGGAGGTTCCTCAAAAAATTAAACATAGAACTGCCATTTGACCCAGTGATTCCACTTCTAGGAATAGATCCTAAGGAACCCGAAACACCAATCAGAAAGAACTTATGTACCCCTATTTCACAGCAGCACAATTTACAATAGCTAAGATCTGGAAACAGCCCAAGTGCCCATCAATAGATGAGTGGATAAAAAGGCTGTGGTACATTTACACCATGGAATACTATGCAGCTGTAAAAAAGGATCTCTTATCAGTTGGGACAGCATGGGTGGAACTAGAGAGTATTATGCTAAGCGAAATAAGCCAGTCAGAGAAAGACAAGTATCACATGATCTCACTCATATTCGCAATATAATAAACAAAATAAACTGATGAACGGAACAGAGACAGAAGCATGGAATAGACTGAGGAATCTCCGAGGGAAGGTGGGGGTGGGGAGTGGGTGGGGAGAGATTAATCAAAGAACCTATATGCATAAATGCATGACCCATGGACACAGACAATAGTATGGGGAAGGCCTGGGGGGTGCAGGGTGGAGGGGATCAATGGGGGGGGAAGTGGACACCGGTAATACTCTCAATAATAAAGAGAAATTTAAAAAAATAAAATAAAATTTTCTTCCTTGATTTATTTAGGTTTTCTACTTCACAGTTGATTTTGGCATTCCTCCCCCCAAAATAATTATTTTATTAACTTTTCCAAGGTATTAGTTCAGTTCAACAAACACTTATACAGCATCTATAAATCATGTACTATGCTAAGAAAAAAAAGATGAATAAAACACATAATCTTGTGCTCAAAGTTACAACCTTATTGAAAAAAGATAATTAATGTTATGAATTTACATGTACAGACCTATTCAGTACAGAGTAATAGTTTNGATAATTAAGCAATGTTATGAATTTACATGTACAGACCTATTCAGTACAGAGTAATAGTTTTTAAGAAATGACAATAACTTAAATATTCAAGAGTAAACTATGGTATGCCCACTAGATGAGTATTAAGCAGGCATTAATACTGTTTGAGTGACAGGACTTGACTAATCTTTCTTCTAATTTTCTAACTTTCTATAATGATTATATAGTACTTTTCTCATGAAAACAAACTAAAACTATTTTAAAAAGTCATATTTACCTATGGGTTAGGAATTATCACTATATATATCTTTTCTCATAATATGTAACTTGTACACATTTTTCTAAATTGTATTACTTGCCAAAATTATTATTGGGTAATCAATATTATGGAATTTCATTACAAAGAAGTATTACATAAAAGGGTAAGGGAAGACTGTATAGATTTCATTTCCAGACATTCTTCGTTTAACTAGTAGCTATAGAGAGGTTAGTTTAACTGGTGAGAGCGTCTGAAAATGTGACCACTTCCCTTTTCATGCCCCTCTTTTAGTCTTATGCTTCAGGCAGGAGTCACAATTTCAAATTTGTCAATTTTGCTTCTATCAAGTCTAAAAATCAGAACAAAAGCCCACTGTACAGTGGAAGCTGGAATGAAGATTTCTAATCATCCAGTGGAGTGTGTCCACACTCGAGTCAAACTACATGATAATCCAGTTTTTAACTTAGAAGATGTTTAGAAGATACTCTAACATGATGAAAAGCATTAAAATTCTATAAGGTTATACAAAAGTTTCACATAAAGAAGCAAAGAGGGGAAACATGAGTAAAGGAAACTAAAATAAAATTACCATATTTTAACTTGTCTTAAAGACCTTGTGGTAAGATCCTAGATGGTGAACCTCAGTTCATCATCTTTGCAAAAGTTACATCTTTCTTTCACTAAAGATGTGGTATAAAGAACTTCTAACTAGGTGTTAGAAAATCTGGGCTTATTATTGGCTCTTAAAGGGGCAATTTCTTCATTGATGAAATGAGTTTCGACTCACTAGACTGCCAAGGTACCTCCCAATTCTAAGAGAAAAGAGACTGGCCAAGAGAAAGGAGTCATTACCTTATTATAACCACTGATGGGTGAGTAGGTCATTCCTGGGCTATAAGAACCACTGCCACCTGATGACAGACCTTGTAGCTGAGGGCTGTATCCAGTTATACAGCTGGTAGTGAACTTAGGAGTGGTATTGGGTGAACGAGATGGGCTGTAACTCAACACACTCTGACCCTGAATTGAAGAAGGTGGAGAGGGAGGAATTTGGGTTGCTGCCAGATCATGTGGAGGAGTAGTCTGTACAACTAGAAGAAATAAATAGATAAATAAATGTCAAATAAAGAAAATGTGTGTGTGTGTATATATATATAAATAAAATTTCTATGAAAACAGATTTAATGAACTGAATCTTTTTCTTCAGAAAAAGGGGAAACAATAATTTGGTTGTTAAATTACATAAAGTATTATTACCAAAAGATACAAATTAGTTGTTCACCATTTCCACAAAGTTAAAAATAAGGAATTAGTAGCAAGCATCAGTAATTTAATTTTAATTGTAATTAAACAATGGAACAAACTTTCATGAGGCTACTGATTGCAAGTTCCATTTAATTTATACAAATAGGAGTGATAGTCATTGGTCGTAAGACAATTTATTGTAGACCTACATAATATATTTGAACCAGATGGCCTAAGTCCCTTCCAGCTGAGTCTAGGAAAAGGAAAATTAAACTGAGAAAGAGTTATTGCCAACCTTTCCCCTACCTTTGGAAAAGATGTAAAATACTTACCAGCTGTTTTTAACCCTAAAAGTGTTTGCTGTCCAGGGCTAACAACCAGACTTGTTGGTGCCACAGTATATTTGAAATATCTCCAAAAATCAAATAAGGCATTTAGGCTGAAGAGAGATGCAAGGGCAAGCTCTGTAAGAGAACAACAAATAATTTTTTTAAAAAGGGTGGTAGTGGAACATTTAAAGGGGGAAACAAAACTCTTTATAGACTTTAGCAAATTAACAACAAATGGAAAACTTGTTTCTTATAACTGCTACCACTTAATAACGTCTTTTATGTGTAGAGTACTTACTAGTGAGTTTCAAAATATTATCACTAATCCTTAAAACTTGTACAATTAACATTTTCACCTTCATTTTAAAGATCAATCAACCGTTGTAGGAAATTAAGTGACTTTTTGCAGGAGCACAGAGCCAGTTATTGAAGCCATGATTCCAACTCGGGTATCAAGATTCCAAAATTCTTGCTCTTCCACTTTCCACACCACTTCTACCACAGACTTTACATTAATGTGTGTATTAGACAATGGCATTTCCTTTAATGGCCACAAGGACTCTTATTACCCAAGAACTTCGGAAGAGCATACAGAAGCAGACAGCAGACATGAAGGAACAAGGAGACTGAGGAAGATATCATTGTTGTAGAAATCTGATTAGTCTTGAATGGTGAAAAATTAGAGAAGGAAGGCATTTCAGGGAGAGTAACAAATACAAATCTCACTATCCCCAAATTATTTTTCTTCACAGAACTCATTATCATCTAGCATTGTATTGTGTAATTTGATTGTCTCCTCTACTAGAAAGTTCCTTCCAAGAGAGCAGGGACTTGGTTCCCTTCCTGCTGCGTTGTTTCTGGAACAAAGTAGGCACTCAAATATTTGTTGAATGAAGGCATGGATACTAAGTTGAATTAAACTTGAATGCAGTTTTTCATTGGTAGTAACTGTAAATCACAGTGAAAATTACTTACCAATATACCAGAGGGGCCAATATGTCACATTATAATATGAACTAATCAATTTTCCAGTCCTGAAAAAATTAGAAAGGCTTTTCAATGTCCTTCAATAACAAAAAACACCAAAAATCAAAACAAACACAAACCTATGGAACCAACCATTGACCTCTTAAAAATTTTTTTTCTAATTAACTTACATTTCAGTATATATCATTCCAGCCATAGATACATTTAGGAGTCCCCAGGCTAAAACCACTTTCCTAGCTTCTGTTTCTTTTCTCATCTTGATAGTTCTGTCAATAAGAGAAGCACTAGGGTTTGGCTCCCCTTGCATCTGTTCAAACAAAAAGCACAAGAATTAATCAAAAGAAACTACTCCATTTAAGGCACCACACTTGTGTCCTTTATAACAGTAAGTAAAAACTCACATAGTTTTCCTCATCTTTAAAATCTTTCCACATTTTTTTACATTTTAATATTAATGTATGAAAAGGGAGCCCTAAATTATAACCTCATTGACACTATGTTGTAATCAACAAAGAAGTGGCTGGTCACTTCAGGAAACAAGTTCATACTCCCAATAATTAAAAATGTCTTATTTTCCAACTCAGTGTTGGTAGTTATGTCTGCAATTACTCTGTATTGTGTTTTTGAAATATGTCACGAGGACTAACCCAAGGGCTAATCTAAGAAACTCAAAATACCAAGTTTCGGGAGCAATTATTCGATTTAAGCCATAGGCAAAGACTCTCCCAAAGCCTTATGCAGAAACCATTAATCCCTATGATCTTAACTCTGCACTCTGACGGATACACGCCAGAAATCTGAGTTTTGCTTTTTATTTAAGTTTTGGAAGGGCCAGTACTCATGTGAGGGGGATGAGGGCGAGTGGGGCGAAGAATGCATTCAGTTTTGGTCTGCATTGGGATTTACATTTCTTTTGTTTTGCTAGGCCGCCTCTCTTGCTTACAAGTGTAAGATGTGTTCCAGTTCTGTGGAGTCCTATCCCAGAGTACAGGGGAGTGCCCTCCCGCTCCCGCCGGAGTTAAAATTCCCCAGGCCACCGAACTTCCCTCCCTGACTCTCCTGTACGAACTTTAGCAACCCCTGTTGCTTCTTTCCTCCGCTCCTCTAAGGGTGGCGGGACACCTGGCCACACGCCCCCCGCCCCGGCTGAGCTCTCGGCAGATCCACAGACGCGGAATTCCCACGGCCCGCGTGCCTTCTGCGTCCAGAAAGTACAAAAATGACCCCGAAAACGCACCATGATCTTCGGCCGGAAGCCGCTGACTCGCGCCACTCTCTACTGCACATGCGCGAAGCCAATGGAATGGGCGAATGAGACCGGCTTGCCGGTCTACATAACCGGAAGAACGGGCTCTCTCTTCTCGCGAGAAGAGGAGGGTGGGGGAGGGACGGGGGCTGAATGCGTTACCAGGGAAACACTCTCGGATTTGTCGCTGGCTCTCAGGTGCCGGGAGAAAGCTGAGCAAGAGCGATTCGGTCCAGGTTCTGAACCCTCAGTGTAAAGTAATAACTATAAGAAGCTAAGTTTCTATATTAATGTAATTTTAGCTTCTTTAGGGTATTTATGGGCTCACGTTTTCGTTTAATTCAGTAGAGGGGCTAATCTGTAGGACAGAGTACGTTGTAAAGTGTCCAGACATCAGCAATGACAAAGCATTTCTCACATTAGTGTTAAAAAAAAAAAAAAAAAAAATCGTGTCCTGACCCCATGTTAATTCTTAAATATCCCTGTAATGAGGGAGCAGCAGTAACAAGAAAAAAACTGAAACGTGTTTTGTTAAAAGTTGCTAGTGGTTTTGAGGTTTTTTTTTTAAAAAAAATCTTTAAATTTCCTGCATTTTCTTTGGAAGAACTACTGATCCCGAGGAAAAGTTCATCATAGAGTTGTTTGGTTTTATTTAACAAATACAAACGCCTACAGTGTGCCACTGAACCATAAGGAGACGTGAAAGTAAAAGCCCTCTCTGGTTGCTGCCTGGAGGAGCTCAGCCCCAGGGAGGGCGGGCAGGTGCATTAGGGGCAGGTGCATTAGGGGCAGGTGCTTTACTGGGCAGGTGCTTTACTGGGCAGGTGCATTACTGGGCAGGTGCTTTACTGGGCAGGTGCATTACTGGGCAGGTGAGGCAGCTGTGTGAACCCAGAGGAGGCAGGATGGGCCCAGCTCCGACCCCACTAGCTCCCTGGAGGAGGCGAAGAAGGCCTGCGGCAGGTGACTGTCAGCATGGGCAGGGCCTGAGGACTTGCGCTTGAGAATGCAGATAAGTGTGCCCTTAATGAAAACATCATTAAGCTAGTGGATGGTTACATCATGCAGGTCCCAAAGACCAAAATTTTTCCTAATGCTCCTAAAGTCAAATAGAAGAAAATGAAGTTTCTTTGTGGTATTACATGTTAATGGGGGAAAAAAATGAAGGCATGCTGTGCTCTTGAAGACCTAACAGATTTTTTTTAGCATGGGATTTTTATAATTTTTAGATTTCCTTAGTGGCAATGGTGTTTTGCTCTAGTTTTACATTGAGAAATGAACTAACTTGGAAATTGTTCAAAGTGAAAGGGTTCTATGTACAGTCAAATTGAGAATACCAGTTTCCTCCTTACCCCACAAAATACTGCAGACTAGGTGGCTTAAACAAAAGAATTATTTTCTTCAGTCTTGGAGGTTGAAAGTCTAAGATCCTCCAGCAGAACTGGTTTCTCCTTAGGCTTGTCTCCTTTGGCTTGCAGATGAATGCCTTCTCCCTGTGTCCTTACCTGGCCTTTTTTTCTGTGCTTAAACATCCTCAGTGGTTCTTCCTCTTCTAATAAGGTCACCAGCCTTATTGGATTAGGGCCCCATCCTTCTGACCTCCTTTAACCTTAATTACCTGTTTAAAAGCACTGTTTCTGATTATAGTCAAATTGAAGGTTAAGGCTTCAACATAAGAATTTTGGGGAACAGAGTTCAGTCTATAACACATTAGAATTGTGTACGTTAATTTACAATCATAAGAGACTGAAAAAAAAAGGTAATTCAGAGACTTAGATTTAAAGACATTAAAATACTTTATTTAAAGAAAATACAGTACAGCCCTGGCTGGTGTGGCTCAGTTGGTTGAGCATCATGCCATGCACCAAGAGGTTGCAAGTTTGACTCCTGGTCAGGATACACACCTGGGGTTCGGGCTCAATCCCAGTAGGGGGTGTGCAGGAGGAGGCAGCCAATCAATGGTTCTCTCTCATCATCAATGTTTCTATCTCTCTCTCTCTTTCCCTTCCTCCCTCTCCCTCTCCCTCTCTCTCTCTCTCTCTCTCTATATATATATATTTAATAAAAAAAGGAAATACGGTACAGTTGACTGTTGAACAACACAGGAGCTAGGGGCATCAATCTCCTTNTTAATAAAAAAAGGAAATATGGTACAGTTGACTGTTGAACAACACAGGAGCTAGGGGCATCAATCTCCTTGCAGTAGAAAATCTAAGTATAACTTTTGTCTTCCCCAAAACTTAACTGCCTTTAGTATTTGCAGGGGTTTGGGTCCAGAACCCCACAGATACCAAAATCCGAGAATGCTCAGATCCCCTATAGAAAATGGCATAGATCAATGCACACAGTCTTCTCTCTGCATCCTTGGGCTCCTAATTGCAGATCAAAAACACTACAGGTATTTACTGAAAAAAATTCTTATAAGTGGACCCATGCAGTTCAAACCAATGTTGTTTAAGGGTCTACTCTATGTACAAATTTCAGGGGGGAAAATAAGGCAGAACACACTATATTAAGCTATGAGGAAAGACCATAAACTTTCATAAACGTAATTTAGATAAATCTTCCAAAAATTTAGAAATCCAAGAAGGGTTTGTCAGTTTCTGTCACAGTTGCTGAAGTGTGTGTCATAATCGGTTGCCAAGGAGGTTGTCATACATGTGGAGTGAAGTACTTCGGTCATTTTCATCCCTTTGAGCATGTTTTACTTTTGGAGCAAGAAGCCATCATGGGAAAACTTCTTTCCTTATTTTGGGAAGTAGATCCTGCCCCCATGCCTCTAAGTTTCACCATTCCAGATCAGGATTACGAGTGCCAGCAGGATGACTCTTGTGGGGCAATAGGGATCTTCCTCTTTTGGTATTTTGTCGTTATTTTGGTCCTGATGTTCTTCTCTCGGGCTCCTATCAGGGTAGGATATCCTTTTTCATTTTAAATAACGTGTTTACTGTATACTAGGGGATTTTTCATAAAATAAATCCACTTTACTTTGATGAAACTACTTTTAAGTTTGCCTTCTAGTTTTAAAAATAATGCAATCTTATTCTAGAGAATCCAAGAATATAGAAAAGGCTGAAGAACATTTAAAACTACTATAATCCTATTTCTTAGAGATAACCACTGTTAACAGTTTGGAGAATGTTCTAGTTTTTTTCTTTTTCTCTATACCAATATATATCTCTCCATTTCTCTATCTTTGATCTTACATGGTTGGCATTATGTTATAGTATATATTTTCATATCCTGCTTTTTAAAACTTAGTATTATATCGTAATACTTCTCCAAATTATATTCACACAACAGCATTCTTAGTGACTGCGTACTTTTGTTTTGTCTGTGGTTGCACCATAACAAATCTGCAATTTTAAGATATTGAGGTTGTTTACACTTTGTCCACATGCTGTGTAATGCTGGGATAAACTTCCCTACTGGTTAATGTCCTCGAAATTCCTTGCGTAGCTAGGTAATTCTGATCACAAATTAAAAAGTTGTATTTATAGGATATATATTGTAGCGTTTGGGGGATTTTAGAATTGGGCAATAGACTCTCTGAATAGAATAAGCTGCAGAACTAAACAAAACTAAACAGAACTAAAGTCACCACTCTAGACCACCTACTAGCAGAAAAAAAATACCATCCTCTTAGGAATAAAGTAACCCATTTTATCAGGACTGTGCTGTTCCAGCATATAATGAGTAACCGAGCTCTTGTAAGTCGCTGACATGGAGTCCTTGTTGGCCATTAATACCAGGTTGATGATTAATCAGACCACCATCCTTTAGCATTACAGCCAGAACGCTGGGCTGTTGGTGGTCAGCTAGACTAAGTGCTCTATCAGCTCTAGATGGAGAGGAGGGGGTTTGTTATGTCTGTGCCAGCTGGATTCCATTATAATAATCTTGCCTTCACCACCCCTTCCCCCTAAGAAGTTTCATCTAAAGTTTAAATGCTTCATAAGGTACATGCTTTGCCAAAAGATTTAGAAGCGACAGCTTATATGTATCTTAGACTCCCTAACAAAGTATATTGAATTTGTCTGATCTGGCAAGAAAAGCTACTCTAGAAAATTAACAAAAAAATTGAAATTGATTCTTGGCAATTTTATCCTGAAGGCGACTTAAGAGGCCTAAGCTATATTCTTCTGTTCCCTTGCTTGCATTAGCTCTTTGGAGTCACAAAGACCCGAGCTTCAAAGACCTCAAGCCTGCGTATGGTCCAGTCTCCTGTTTGTAAGCAAGTAAGATATCAGCATCTGTCCTTTTTAAAATTGATAAGGCCCAAAGAAATTAAGTGACTTGTCCAGTCTCACACAAGTGCTTAGTGACAGTGGGGACAGTAGACCCAAGTTTCCTGCCATGTCATTTGTTCGCTTCAAAGAATAGTTGAATTAAATCTATTGAGTGCTGATTAAAACCTTGATTATCTCAGAGGTTTCATGTTTTACTTTGTTCCCTTACGGCAGCTAAAATCGGCTGAATTGCTTCTTCTAAAGGGTCACAGATTTGAAATCTGAGAACCATATGAGGACTAGTCAAGAAGGATGGAATTTTCCCTTCACTTTGAACTTCACTCTCTCTGCTAAACTATGAGCCTTTATTTACAAACCTTGAAGTAATGGTAGGAGAGTGATGGAAGTGTGGTGGTAATTGTCCTCAAACACGAAGCGCGCTGATTTCCTCGGGATTTGCCATTGAAAAAATTTTATTTTTTACTTGGAGAGAGAGAGGAAGGGAAACGGAGGGAGAGAGAAAGAGAGAAAGCGAGAGCAAGAGAGAGAAACATCAATCAGCTGCCTCCTGCACGCCCCCTACCGGGGATTGAGCCTGAAACCTGGGCATGTGCCTGACTGGGAATTGAACCAGCAACCTTTTGATGCACCAGACAATACCCAACCAACTGAGCCACACCGGCCAGGGCAAAACCTAATAAGTGTTTTAAACACTTTCCCCCCTCCATTACAATGCATATAGAAAATGTGGGAATTATAAGAAAGTAGGAAAAAAAAAGAAAGAAGTCCCACTCCAGATAACATAGAAATAACCAACAACTATTAACTTTTAGGTTTATAAATGTCTAATCTTTTCATAATCATCTCTATACATATTAAATTTAAAACAAGGCCTCCAAAAACCATTTTTAAAAAAGTGGTATCTTAAAAGAGGATTCCATTTTTAAGGCTTTGAGAGAATGGTTGCAATAACCCAAAAAGCAAAGAGCTATCTGGTTAGAGATGCTTGCTTACCATTGTAGCAATCAGATCAAGGATCTTAGGTTGCAGTTATGATTACCCAAACAAAGTACTTTTCAACCCAAAGAAAGTTTGACTTTCTATATAAATTTGTTTTTCCTTCATTTAGACAATTTGAAAAATTAGGAGGAAAATACTTTCACCACTTAAAGTTAACCATTGCTAACGCTTCTGTAATCCCTTTTTTCTTTTCATATTTTTAGCTAACTTGTGATCATGCTGCATGTACAAATTTGCATCTTGATTTTTAACTTAATACTATAACATTTATTTCCTCACCTTATGACATACTTTTATCAAAATTTTTATAACTATATATTATATGATTACATAATTGTAATGTAATTTATTTAACCATTGTCTATTTTTGAATTTTGTGTTTTATAATATCCAAATTACACTGTGATGAATATTTCTGTACACAAAGCTTCCTCTCTTTGGGGGGGTTATTTCCTGGTGATACATTCCCAGAAGAATTATATGTGTCAAAAGTGTTTTGAATATTCCTAAAGTTTTTGATCCATTCTGAAGGAGGAGGAGCTTTATATTATTTGACAAAACCATCTTCAGCATCAAAAAGTAGGACACTTATCTGATAAATGGAACACATATATTTATCGAGTATTGGGCAGAATATTTGAAATTAGAACTATTCAGAGAAATCCATTCTGGTTGCCATATGCACAGATCATATATATTATGGTTGCATTTTGAAGGAAAGTTTCTAAAGGCTTTAGGAGATATTAAGTCTATGAATTCAAGTAAAGATCTGAAAGAATTATTGATAATGTGACTTGATAAAATGTCCTTTAAAAAGTAATTTTAAAAACTAATCATAGTACCATCAAATCTCTTTTTAAATGATAGTTCTCTGTAATGTGAGCGAGTACAGGAAAACTTTATAACCTATAGCTCCTTATTAGTATTATTTTCTCTCAAGTCTTTGTTCCTTTTGCTTGGTTCAAAAACATTTTGGTCGATTCTGCTACCAAAGCATGGTCTCCCTAATGGTCAGCAGAAGAGAAAGTGTAAAGCAACCAACTATGATGACCACTGTATGTGTTACCTGCCATTGAGTGGCTCCGACTCCTGGCCACACTGTGAGTGAGTGATGTCCACAGTGTCCTGTTGTCAGCAGACTCATGCCCAGTGGCTTCTGTGATGAAGCTGATCCATCTCCTATTTGTTCCTCTTCCCGCTACCTTCTGTTTTCCCTGCCTTCTCATGATTTGCCCAAAGTAGGAAAGCTTTAGTTTTGTCATTTTTGCCTCCAGCAATGTTTAGGCTTAATTTGCTATAGGACCCCCTTGTTTGTCTTTCTGGATGTCCAGGGTATCCATAGCGCTCCCCTCCAACACCACATTCCCAATAAGTCCATTCC